AGGCCTGGGGTGGGGGACGGGGAGGGTGACCAAAGCCACACAGCCTAGGACTGGAACCCAGATCTTCTGACTCCACGAACACCTCTGGTTTGCCTCTGCTTTGACATAGAACGCGAGGTCTCCCGTGGGCTGTCCTTGAGCCGCTGCCAGGTGTGAAGGCAGGCGAGCTCACACTAGGACCTGCAGGACCGAGCGGGGCATGAGGAGGCCAGAGCACACCCTGCCCGGAGCTTCAGGGTGGGCTTCCTGGAGGAAGGATCAGCGTGGGCAAACCCTCATCAGGACAGGGATGACTCAGTCACGTGCGGGGTGCTCCTGAGTGAAAGGGAGGGGGCCCCACGGGGCTTTGAAGACCGAGAGGGGACCCAGTGGGGGTGAGGGGAGCAGATGGAAAAGCTTCCTGCAGTAGGTGTCGTTAAGTGCATACTTGGTGACTGGCCAGGCAGGAAAAGTAATGCAGTGGGGGAGGGGACAGTGACCTTGGAAATCAGGCTGTTCTCTGACATTCAAGTTAATAAAAACAGAAATAATAGATGACATCAGCCACCAAGAGACTCCTCTGCCTGGCAGAACCTGGTAGCGATCCGAACACGGTTATGTCCCTCCCTCCGTTTGGGCAGCGCACTATTCTGACACCAAGGCCCTGTCATCTGAATAGCCTCACTCTTCAGTTTATCCTTTCTACCACCCCACCCTGTCACCAAACTGCCCACCGTTGCCGCAGATGCCCCCCGGCCCTCCTACCTCACGCCTGCCTGTTCACCCCACGCCTGGAATGCCTCTCTGCCCCTGACACTCCTCTTTTAAGACCAGATTAGCTGCCCCGTCATCCAGTGCCTTCTTGTGGCTGTCACCTGGATTTGTCCCTTTGGGGTGGTCATTGTTTCGGTCTATCTCCCCATACAATCTTGGCTCTCTGGAGACACGAGAAATGGCCTCAAATTGTCCAGCTCACAGTAAGACCTACAAATGGTTTGTTCACATAGTTCCAAAAGGGTGACACTCCTTATTCCCAGGGCCTGGCACGTGGTCAGTGCTCCAGAAAGATCGGTGGGTTGGATAAATGCCTAAGACAACATCCGTGAAAGCAATGTTCAAGTGTGAAGGCCTCCGACCGCTAAGGGAGTTTGGGTTTCCCTGCTCCTGTAATCCTGCTCTCTCCACCCCCTTGGCCAGGGACATGAGGAGTTCCGATGGGGAAATGACGCACGACTCCCAGATCACGCAGGAGGCTCTCCCCAACACACTGGGGACCTCGGAGCCTTCTTATACGTCTGTGAACCGGGGGCCGCCCCTGGACAGGGCCGAGGTGTATTCCAGCAAGCTCCAGGACTGAGCCGAGCACCACCCCCGGGCGACAGCATCCTCCCCGCTGGCAGGGATTTTGTGGGTTTTGCAGCAGCTGGCATTCATGCCCTGACTGGACAGGAGGTGAAACACGGTGTGTTGGTCCAAGTGCAGAAAAACTCTTAATAAAATCTTCCCAAGATTTTGAGTTCAGTAATTTACAGAATGAATGAGTAGGTAAATGAATGAATGAACTGATGTCATATTGAGGGGCTAGATTGTTTTTCAAGAAGGTAAAAGCTGTGGTGCTGAGGGCTGAGTTGGAACCCAGGGCTCACTTGACACCCTGGCCCTGAGTCTAGGTCTCGTCTGCCAAATGGGCTGGCGGAAAAGGTTAGTTTCCAAGGTCATGCTCACCTGTGTTCCCTCACTGCTTCCCTGAGGACCCCTCCGGCTGGGATACAGGGAAGGGCTGGCTCCTCCTGGCCCCTCAGTGAGCTTCCAGTCCAGCAGGAAGACAAGGGACGGGTGACTCAGACACAATACATGTGAGATAAACACCATAGTGGGCAGAAGATTCATGTCACACAGGAGGGGTGCCAAGTCTGCTGGGGAAGGGTGAAGGGCTGCCCCAGTCCAGGGACTCAATTCAAAGACTCAATTCTCTCTTCTGAGCCAGGTGGAAGGACTGCTTCCCCTTTTGGGGTGTACAAAAGTCACAGTGCCACTTCCTGATACTGAAAGAAGATATTTGTCAGAGCGGGGTTAGTTTAAGCAGAAATGCCACCTAACAGCTGCAAGGAAGTCTGCCCTAGCAGGCTGGCAGGTGTCTGAGTGAGCCAGACTCTCCCTCCAGGGCCACCGTTATGGTCTGAATGTCTGTGTTCCCCCAAATTCACGTGTTGAAATCCTAACCCTCAGGCTGGCCAATGTCAGTTGTTAGAGTGTGGTGCTGTAACACCAGGTCAAGGGTTCAGATCCCCGTACCAGCCAGCTGCCAAAAAAAAAAAAAAAAAAAGAGAAATCCTAACCCTCAATGTGGTGGTATTAGGAGGTGGGGCCTTAGGATGGTGATGAGGTCATGAGGGTGGAGTCCTCATGAATGGGTTCAGTGCCCTTAGGAGAGACACCCCAGGGAGCTCTCTCACCCTCTTTCTGTGATAATGTGTCGAGAAGTTGCAGTCTGCAACCTGGGAGAGGGCTGTGTTAGGCCGTTTTCTATTGCTCATAACAGAATACCTGAAACTGGGTAATTCATAAATAAGTGAAATTTATTCTCCCAGTTTTGGAGGCTGGGAAGTCCAAGGTCTAGGGGGTGCATCCGGTGAGGGCCGTCTGCCTGGTGGGGACACTCTGCAGAGTCCCGAGGTGATGCAGGTTATCACGTGGCAAGAATGGCAGGCGCATTTTTACCTGCTCTCCTTATGAAGCCACGGGTCCACACCCGTGGTAACCCACAAAACCATTAACCCATTAATCCATGAATGGATTAACCCATTCTTGAGGACATAGTCCTCATGATCCAATTACCTCAAAGGCCCTGCCTTTCAAATGCCATATTGGGGATTAGGTTCCAACATGAGCCTGGGGGGACATTCAAACCACAGCAAGGGCCCTCCCCAGAAACCATGCTGACACCCTGATCTCAGACTTGCGGCCTCCGCAACTGTGAGAAGTAAATTTCTCCCAGTCTACAGTACTTTTTTATAGCAGTCTGAACTGACCCAAACAGGGATGGATTCTGAGACAGGCAGCACATCCCTTAAAGAGGCAGAAGCCCTGGAAAGAACTTAAAGGCAGGGAGGGGTCTGCAAAAGCCAGAGCAGAGTCAGTTAGGGTGGGAGGAATAGCGGGTGCTCAGAGGAGCCGAGTCCCTGGGCAGTGGGAACAGGAGGAGGGAGTGGTGGGTGCTGATCCTGAGAGGGCACCTGGCTGGATGTGCCCTGGACACCCTGATCCCTCGAGATCATCTCCTAGGCCCCCTGAGGCTGGCCTCGGCAGCCACTGGAATTCACACTTCCTCCATCCCCGAGTATCCTCACAGAACCCTCCTTTCTTCAGGGGAGATCTTCTAGCTCTTCTCCCTAAGAATCCCTGCAGCAGCAGAGAGGAAGGGCAGAGCTGCTTTGAAGTCTGCCACTGTCAGAAGTTCATGCAAATTTTGCATTCACATGTCTGTGTTTATTTATTTTGTAATTGAGGCGATCACAGTTGTCCCCAATTCCCTATCAAGGAAACCAGGGCCCTGTTAAAGGTCACACAACAGGGAAGTGGCTGCAGACCCAATGCAGGCTCCGGGGAGGCTGGAGGAAAAAGAGGGCAGAGGAGGCCAAGCCCAGCAGCACTGTCCTGGATGGGGCTGGGAGCTCCCTGAGACTTAGTGTCCCCAGTTTCAAGTGACCGCACAACCCCAACGCCCATGAGATGGTGTGGGGAGCTTGGAGACGGCCCAGCTGATTCACTAGTGATGTCTATGGATTGTGTGGTCAGGGGTGGGTCCTCATCTCCAAGGAGACTGCAAGGAGACAGGACTGCAAAATGTAGATGGAATCCATCAGGGTGCTTGATTTTGCTGTCAGAAAATCCAAGCCAAAGATGTTCAAACAATCCTGGCTTTATTATTCCTCCAAACAAGAAGTCCACGTGTAAGAAGGTTCTAGATTGGCCAGTTCAGGGTTCAGTGACACCAACAGTACATCAACAAAGACCTGCAAGCCTTCCCAGTTTCTGACCTGTTTGGCAGCCATGTAAGTCCTCATGGTCCCAAACTGGCTGCTGTGGCACCATGAGTCCCATGTCCCACCATGATACCCCCAAGACCCAGATGGCATCCAGCAAAGATGGGGGCTGTGTCATTCACATTATCATGCAATTTTCTTTCTTTCTTTTTTTTTTCCTTTTTGTCTTTTTCCGTGTCCGGCAACGGATCGCAACCCTCAGTGTTGCCCCCGTACCGGACCGGGGACCGGCAACGGGATTGCAACCCTCGGTGTTGCTCCCGCGCCTCGCTCAGCCAGTGAGCGGGAACCGGCCTGTATGCGGGATCCGAACCCTCGGGCAGGAGCACCACCGCGATTCCCAAGCGGCGCACCATCCAGTGCGCCACCGGGCCGGCCCCAAAATTAACCATTTTAAAGTGAACAGTTCCGTGGCATATAGTCCATTCGCAATGTTATGCAAACACCACCTCTGTCTGGTTTCAAAATATTTCATCTCCGCAAAAGGAAACCCATACCTATTAAGCAGCCACTTCTTATCTCTCGTCCCCCTAACCCCTGCAACCACCAATCTGCGTTCTGTCTCCATGGATTTACCTATTCTGGATGTTTATGTAGGGGGAGTCCCACTTGTACAGCATGTGGCCATCTGTGTCTGCCTTCTTTGACTGAGCATAATGTTTTCTTTTTTTTTTTTTTAAAAGATGACCAGTAAGGGGATCTTAACCCTTGACTTGGTGTT